AAAAGGTGTAACTAATAAAGTGGCTGGCGAGTGTTCCTCAAGTTTCTCAGTTTTACTGCCGCTGAAATTCTCCAACCCTGCTACGCGGAGAAACGTTTAAAGCACAAGGTAAAAATTGAAAGTTAAATACACCTCAGTGAGTCTCGCTGTCCTCATGTACTCCACAGGGTGAGCTCAATGGACACAAGGGACTTGTTCCTTCCAACTTTCTAGAAGAAGTGCCTGATGATGTAGAGGTTTTTCTCACTGACTCACCATCTCGGTACCCCCAGGACACTCCAGCACGGATAAAGACCAAAAGGGTACATGCTCCTTCGCAGTACTAGCGCTCTGTCATCCATTTACTGTTTTCAGTTCCCTCTATCTCCTTTAGTTCTGTGTCTGTGCGTGTGTGTCTCATTGAGCAAAAAGGGATTTCTGACTTTATAGCATTACACTGTAAATAAATAGATGTCTAAGAAATTGATGAAAAGAAAAAAAAATGAAATTTTAAGACAGAGGTATTTTATTTTTCATGTTCACTGCTGTGGGTGGGAGTGGGAGTTCTGCATTGTATAATACATGGATATATTGTATTCATAAAGCATTCTCAATGAGAGTAAAATTAAAGGGCAAGAAGCTCCTGTGACTTTTTACTTGTCATGTCATGTCTGGGAAAAGATCCGTTAACACCTTTTTTTGCACATGTGTATTTAGCATTCTGACAGATGCTTTATGAATATATTCTGTGTTTGATCTTAAGTCATTTCTAATAGAGTAAATAGTTTTGTTGTACTGAAAGATGAACTATGTAGTGTGTAGCTCAGCATGGTATATAGTCCAGATGCATGAACTCTTGATCATTTTATATAAAGATGAGTCTAGTGTAGTTCAACTTTTTGTATCTGCTCCTGAACACCTTGTTTTGTAAATTGCTTTCTTGTAAAGTAGCACGCAAAGGTCACTTAGCCTATGTTGCCATCAGAGAATCATTTCAGAAGTAACTCTTTACTAAATGTAAATATGTGATGTTATTTTTGTGTTTTAACAAATAATGCAATTGTTAAAAAAGAATATATTAATAGGTGTCATTAGATATTTCCTTCCTTGTGTTCTAATTTGCCATTGTCATAGTGCAAACTATTGAAATGCCATCACCATATTTTTTTGTTTTATTTCTTTTCCTCACCTGCTTGGCAAAACAGAAGAAGAGTGTTCATTTCACACCTTAAAGGCTCTGTTTCCGTCACGTAAGTGAGCAACTGAGGATACCAAGATTACGCTCCCCTCGTCTAATGCAGATGTCATGGGTACCCTTAGTTTCTGGTATGCAACATGTATACTTTGTATGACATTCCTGTAGGTTGTTTTAGGAAACTTCTCTGTGTTACCAAAAAACTTGATGCTGTTTGTTGGTAGGACATAGAAACCCTAGCCAATGCATTAGACAAAAAAAGGTGTGGTATCTTCAGTTGTTTCTCTGAGTGTTGTACATGACAATGTCCGTCTCCTGAAGCAAGTCTCCTGCTGTAAGTCATGGTAAGCTAAAAGGCCATTGTTGCACAGCGACCCTCAAATCTGGAAAATAACAGTTCAAATTAGATATACAGTCAAATCAAGGAAAAGCAGAAAAATCGAGCAATTCTATGCAAAACCACATTCACAAAAATAAACATTTTAAACAAGCTTGTTTGGTTTTACACTTCAAATTGTCACGTTTTTTCTTCTTCCTGTAGCCAAATTTAGGATGGTTTTTGTTATTATTATTATTATTTTTTGCCTTTTCTTGTTTGTGATCTGGTTTTCAAATCAGTCCTAATCCTGTGAACCAAGATTAGCTAGTTGACGACCAAGAACTGGTTCTTAATTCAAGTGAGACTATGCAACTTTTGCTGCACAGCGACCACTGCAAATGGCACTGAAGGTGCCGTGCAAAACAGCTGCATTAGCATTTAGCTAAAATGCCAAGGCGGAAGCCTGACTCTGAGCAGTGGTGCATTTTATTTTGTGCTTTGACTTGTAATTGGACAAACAATTTTCTCTCAAAGGTCACGTAGACTAGCTTTCAAAATCACACTTCATTTTTACCCGTGTGTAAATTACTGTGCGTTGACACATGTATATATATAAACGCAACTTCGTACAAATGTGATCTTTTGTCCTGTGTCTTCCCAAAGTGCAATTTAAAGGAGCCTTTTAGCTCATGATTACAGAAAAGGAAGAGTGGCTGGTAGTTTCTCTGTAACCCAGTTGTATCGGTAAATATGTATATGTAAGAGGGAGGAAGGTGAATGTGATGTAGATCTGTCCCAAAATGCAAATGTATCTTTTTATGTGAGAGGAACTGCCCCGCCTTTGACAGACAGTGTTGGGAAATATTGTCACCTTAAACTGATGTGGAAGTTAGTCAATGTCAAGTCTAAAATTCCATGTTCCTGTAGTTTATTCATAGCAGCTTCATTTAAAAAAAAAAAAGCTATATGTACAAACACTGTTTCTACCTGACAGAGTGGGTGGGGTGGGTCAACATCCAGGGAGGGCAGTAGACTTCAGAGCTATGCTGGCCCAGCTGAGACAGAAAGGACTTAAGAGAAGGAGGGGAGTAGTGACAGAGGTGTTAGAGACGGTTGGCTTTTTAACACCCTCAACTGTCCCTTACGGGTCTCCCATTAGGTTCCATTGGAAAAATCGGGTCCGCCCAGAAGAGCAGCCTCTTCCACAGTGCGTCCACACATCCCTGGCTCTGGCCCCGCCACCGTGGGGCCCGGCAGTCCCATCAGGGCCCCAATGGACATGTACTCCTCCAAAAAGAAAAAGGGACTGCTCTCCAAAGGGAAGAAACTATTGCAAAGACTTGGCGCTGTAAAATAATTTCTTGACATACTTGGAGAGTGTCAGCCATATCCTTGTAGTGTTTTAAAAACAAACTCATCCAAATGCAGTGGACAGGTGGCATTTGTGAGCTTAGCAAATGCTTTATTCTTTTACATCTGTTGTACACTAGAATATTTGTACTTTGTCGAACAGTATCCACTACATATTTTCAAAAACATTTCATATTACGGTCCCAAGACCTCATAATGTCGGACGATGTAGTGATCTTACCTCCAACTCTCTGGCTGATGAGATTTTGCTGTAGAAAGGAAAGATGGAGCCTGCAGCGATTTCCATTTTCTGCTTGGTCAAGTGCGACACTTAAGAGACATCATGAGTCAAGTGTGTTGTACACAGAAACCAGAATGTCGTTCAAATACTGAGGGCTCACTTAAACCTTGGAGTCCAGTTTGAATTTGATGTGAAGATGGATTTGAGTGTCTTTACTTGAGCTAGTCCAAAACAGCCAGTCGTAAATTGTACACAAGGTTTGCATGCTTTACTTCAGCACATTCCCTCCTGGCCCCTTCAGATCGCATACAATGCAACGGGGTTAGTGTGGAACCTGGAGCATGTAGTACTTTCAGTCAGCATAGCTGACATACTGTGCAGTAAACGTTGACAAATCAGCAGAATTAACTCCTTCTCTTCTGCCCTACTTCAACAGCTGTGATATAGGCATATTTCCCTCCCCAGAGACGTGTCAGCAACAAGCACATACTGTATTTACTACAGGGTCTTTGCAGTCAAATCAGCCTAAATGACAATGCCTAGTATATCCAACCTCCATGTATTTGCCTTATAATTGCACAATGGGTCGTACTTTGTCCAGTAGAGCATGCAGTTTCATGCCTACTATTCATTTATGTTACTTCATAAAAGCCGTTCGCAAATGTCAATCCCAACTTGTGACATGCAGGGTATTGTGTGACTGTTGTTTCCATGCGACAGAGCTTACGTAGAACTATTCAAGTCTCCAGTGTTGTCGTCCATTTATTGTTAAACCTCTCAAAAATAAACATTTTTGTAATCCTAGAAAAACTTTTGAAAATTCTCCCCCTATATCAAATTCATATGTATGGAGATTTTTTTTTTAAAGTTGACACTATACTCCCAAATTAAAACATGACTTTACAGTAGAAACAGACTTCACTGTTGCATTAAAGAAATAGTTACTGTGCGATATGGCATCGGCAGATCAAATCAGCCATCGTACTGCGGTGGATTTCTAACATGCAACACTTCTAAGCTTCACTAAATGCTACAGGTTTGATGACTTCACATTAGTAAACAGTGAGACACAAGGCTACCTCTATGCTGCCCCTCCTGTCCTCCTAACCCAAAATATATTCGATCTGAAATACTTTTCTTCAAGCCAATCCGTCAGTGATGCCTGTTCAGTGTCCCACTTTATGTTGGTGCAGGATACAAGTACTGTATATCGATATATATCTATATATATCTACACCTTAATGTAGAGTAGTGAATGTACAATGAATTGAAGGCCAATGTATTTTCAAAGCTGCCCTAAGGGATTGTGCAGATGTCCATCCTTGTGCGTGAAATGGAACAGTCCACCTCCTCCTACCTTACATCATTCAGTTTCCCATTTCATCCTCCCATGCCGTTTAAATCTAGACTATTTTCTATACACAAGAGTTGAACTGAAACTGCCAAAAACAAAGAAGAAAAAAAACAAGAATGTATGCAAAACATTCTGATGCTTTCTGTACAATTCTCGGCCAGACCGCCATCTGCACCTACAGTAAACTGATGAACACCTTTTTCCTATTTACGGACCACTTCCTCAGACATTGCTTCTCTTCATTTTGAGTGACTGTTGCTCTTTTTGTACTTTGTCCATTTGTAAAATTGTTTTTAAATGTTTATACTTGATTTTCAGACTGCCTTTTTTGTACATTTAAATTTATAATCAAACAGTTTAAGCTTTCCCCATGGTGTCTTGAAGACCATATTGTTTAAAAGTCTGCAACTGTGTGCTAGCTTTATGATAAGAATTATCAGCCTATATTGATGGTTACAAATTATTGTGTGGGTGTGCATGTGCAATCTTTTATATAAAAAAATAAATAAATTTGATATTTTGTAATGTAATATTGGACTGACTTGCTTTGAAATGCCAGGAATTACAAACTCAGATTTATTGTTATCATTTGCAGCAATATAACAAAATATAACAAAACCAAAGATTATAGCTTCTCAACAAATACAGACTTTTCCCAAACAGATCCTCAAAGTATAACTGATCGAACTATTGGATTCAATTTGCCACCGAAACAACAACTAACCTCAAACAACAAAAATGAGTAAATAAGATTTTCTATGCAAATTTCTGGGCCTTTTTATCCTTAAAGGTAGAAAAGCTGGTCATCCAGTTTCATATTGGGCTCTTTGTGGATGCTCTGACCCACAAGGAAAGCCAACTTGTGGGCGTACTGGCAGGGAGCGGGTACTCTGATGATCCCCTAAAGCACAAAGAAAAACAATCAGGCATGACCAACACAATGCCAAAGTCAGTGACATTTACACAGTTGGGGAAAATTATTTGATCCCTGCTGAATTTATACGTTTGCTCACTTACAGAGAAATGAAGTCTAATTTTAATGGCAGTTTCATTTTAACAAATACAGAAAAAAACCCATTACATCAGAGTTATGAATGGATTCACATGTCACTGAGTGAAAAAAAAAAGTATTTGATACACAAGTAAAACACAAGTGGGTACTTGGTGAAGGAACTCTTGGCCAGTACAGCCGTATAGTCTGTCACCAGGTTTGCACACATCTCTGGAGTGATTTTGGCCCGGTCCTTTTTACAGAAACTAAATTCTTTAGGTTTCTCAGTTGCCACTTGGGAACTCAAAGCTTAAGCTCCCTCCACAGGTTTTCTATACCATTGAGGTCTGGAAACTGATTAGACCACTCAATGACCTTAATGTACTACTTCTTTGGC